CTCTTAGGATTACCCTTCTTCAGTGCTTGGGATAGTATTGCAGGAATCCCATTGACATGGGCTAAACAAACCTTGGGACATAACACAGCATCTACCACTACCCAGAGACCACTAAAGAAATTACAGAGAAGGTAAAACTCTCTCAGTTGCAGGCATTTCTCTGACTTAAACACTGTGTCTTGTAAGTAAATATACATTTTCATCACTAGAAATTTGGGGAATACCTTCACTATATCAAGGCAACGATCGGGCCAAATATAATTTCCCTTTCTTTTTATGAAATATTTTCACAGAACAGACACAAGAATCACTAGCCATGCAAGTGTATTGGGTTACGAAAGAAATCCTTGTTCAGATATTTTTGCTGGAATCGTCTTGTATTGATGGGGCAGAAAATTTGCAATCATGATTGTAGCTGTTGATAAGGTCTTTTGGGAATTAATTTTCATTTTTCCTTTTTTTTTCTGACACAAAATTCCATATGGTTGTATTCAGTGTCGAAGAATAACAATTTTCTATTAATGTTAGCACTTCTTATTGCAATACATATGGAAAAACAAGGATATTAACTTTTCTTATCAAGATAGGATTTTTCCCTGCATTTTTTCCCTAAAACTATTAATCTAAACATTTTCTTTCCATGAACACTAAGTCTTCTCTTTTGATCTCCCAAAATATGAGACAGAATTAAAAAAGGATTCCCAAACACAAAAAAAGTTGATTTGCATTTGAGACTTTGGACACAATTCTATCTGCAAAGAGTTTAGAAGAGTCCTATATCATCTACAGTGATATTTTTGGACTGAGTTCTACTATTCAGAAACTTTAACAGCTGAGATGGCACAGAGAATAAGTGCAACCAGCAGATTAACTCATTTGCAAATAACTTATTCAGTAAAGTGAGGTATAAAGGAGGAGGTGGAATGTACACCTGGAATTTGTGATTCAGACTCAACTGTTTTCCTCAATTGATCTTAGGAAGACACACTCATACAAATCTCTGACTCAGCATTAAGAAGAATTTGGCAATCTAGTCTTTAATAAACATAAGGATTTTAATGTAATATTATCTCTGAATTCATAGTAAATAGCCAGTTGCATCTGAAACGTGTTTGAGAATTGTAACCCAAGATTCATCTGCTCTGACATCATGCTTAGACAAGCAGGGGCTGTCGATTACAAAACAAAAGATTTCACCCCATAGGCAGGAGGCCAGGAAAGCTTCCACTGGCACTTTTATTTTATACTGGGACAGCAGGCCTGAGGCCTGAATGAATTTTGCTTCGTGACAAATTGTGTTATTACACTTCCTTGCTCAGCTCAGATCAGTAAACTACACAAATTCTGAATGGGCCCTCTGATATCTTTAGCTACAGGAGAGAGATGAATGTTCAACACACCATGTAGCTCATTACCTGCTCACTGAATAATAGCAATACTCCTTCTCTTAGGAATACTCAAATTAAAAAGCAGGAAATAGGGTTTGAGACTATTTATTACAGTATATAGAAGAAAAGCAAAAAGCTGCTCATCTAAGTTTTCTATTTTATGCCCAAAATTCTTAACAAGAAGCAAAACTCTCACTGAGTATTCTTTCCAGCTGAACTGCAGTTAGACAGCTAAATCAGTAATGCAGTATAACGTGGTCATATTAACGTGGTGAGGCAGAAAAGACCATCTGCAGCACCATGAATATGACTAAAATAGAGTGCCAACAAAAAGCCCTGAATAGTGTCTAATGCCAGAAATCCTTATGAATGGTGTTTTTAAGAATTTCAGCGTAATTGATAAAAAAGAGAATTATAGTATTTTTTTTCACTTTGGATGCAATAAGCTTTCAAAATTTATTTATAAGCACCTTTACAGCTCAATTCTATGTGGATTAAAAAAATATATTTTTTTAACATTCTTCACTAATTTTAAATGTGAGCAGTTGTAGTGTTCAAGCTTGCTTAGTAAGTTAGAAGACATCTACACACTCCCAAGATTCACGCTGGTGAATATCACTGTGTAGACTGAAAATTGGCACTTTTAACTGCTGTTTTAAAGATGCATGACTCTGGTTTATGTAACAGAGATTTCTGTCTATTTTACTGTTGTGTGTATATGCTTGGAGTGATAAATTCAATGCTAAATATTTGGAATTCAACAAACTTTTTCAAAAATTGTCAAGGACAAAAAAGTACTATCATTACATGGATTTATATTTTAAAGTAGGGAAAAAGGTGGAAATAAATCACCAGATTTCTAAACACTTGGATATTATCAATAGACTCACAGGTTTTTTATTTTAGAGTACATTTTCAATTACTTTGATAAAAAGGGTTCTAACAATGAGGTGAGAAGGTAAAAAAATTATTCAGACTATTACATGAGATTCAAAGACTTATCCAAGGATGCTGAGTGGCCTAGTGATAAAATAACAAAAGCAATTTTTTTGCAGACACAATATTAGAGACTAAATTATCTATTACCAAACTTCAAAAAAAATTCTCTTCTGTTGCAAAAATATCTTAAATTAGCACAGTTAGAAAAATAATTCAAAAATGCAATTAAATATTGGTAATTGTAAGGAAGTGAACTAAGGTCAAAACAAAAAGCCATTCTTTCACTGCATTGATCCTAAGTCTGGGAGTAGCTCAGTAGTGTAATCCATTGTCAAAAAGGATTACATCAGAAATAAAAAGTAACTGAGAAGAGTGAGAAGTATGTTCAGAGGTACACAATACAGTTACACAGGTGTTCTTCAGCCTGCAGAACAGGTATACAGAGAGCAATTCAGCAGATGCATGAAAAGCTGTAAATATATTAAGACTATATTGAGACTATAAAAAGGGAATAATTATTAGCTGGTTTCTACAGGAACTAGAACCCTCCCAAATGTCACTATAGGACATGAAAGAACACAAGCTCACACCGCTGTTCTCAAGGTGATGAAAAAAGGGCAGTTTATTTTATGACTTCAACATTTATAGTTTTCCAAAAGTGACAGCGGATTGGAGGGTGACAGTGCCACCTCTCCAGTGACACTGGTCCAACCAACAGTCTATCAACTTTCTCCTCCTCCATAAAGGAATGCGAAACAATAAGTCATTTACAGAAAGTGTGTGAGAAAGTTCATGTTGTTCATAAATGACAACATCAGAAGGCTTAGAAAATCTTAAAAAACCAGGATGACACCCAAAGGCATCAAATATATAGCAAGTAAGGGGAAGTATTTTTCACAAACATATGCTAAAATTATGGAGTTTTATTGTATAGAATGCTTTGCAGATCAAACTAAAACCATTTTTTAAAAACACTGAGACAAATTCATAGAAGAAAGGTACACCAAACATTCAGTTTGTGGTTTGAGCAAACAACCTCTAGCTCAGGAATTTTCTGAAATTCAGATAGCTAGAAACTGAGTAAATTTATTGAGAGAAATAACACAATGTAGTGACTCTAAATTTTTTTCTTCATGTATCCACCACTGGAAAGTATCAAGGTCCAACAGTGTGCTAGATGGACCTTTGGTGTCATCTAGTACAGCAGCTTCAGGTCTTAGATAGGTTTTCCTGAGCAGGGTACTCTCACCTTCATTCATTTAGAATTCAAAATACAATTCCATATTCAATACTAAATATATAGGACATCCATTTTAAAACATTAAATGATTAAGCTGGGTCATCTATTTTTCTCCAATTACTGTCTGCCATAGGCATAAAAGAAAGACTATTTCAAAACATGTCAGTATCAAATGATAGATTACAGTGGTAAATATTAATAAATGTTAGGTAGCTACAAATTCTGGCAATTTAAACTGACTGAAAAAAAATCTTATCCCAAACTGAACTTCTTATCCCAGAAAGAGAGAATAAGAATATACTTAGAAATTTTCTCCAAGAAATCATTTCACTATTGATTCACTGTTGAAAACATTTATGTAGCAAAGCAATGAGATACAAAAGTTATTAAATAAGTCAAACTGTTTATACAATCATACCTGATCACTTCAAATTTTTAATTATTTTATTTTGTTAAACTTTCTTTAGCATTGTTTTTTCTAAACTGTTTAATATGCTTTCTGTACATCTGAAGTCCCCATGCCTCCATCTGTGAGTTGTATTACACCAAACCTAACAATATTTGTTATTTAGGTTTGGTTTTTTAGAAGGGTATTCTGTAAATTCTGCAATTCTTCCACTATAGTTTCTTTCTATGCACCATGTTATACTCTTCCTCTCAGCTACTGACATTTCTTACCATTACACAAAGTGTTAATTTTCCACACACTCAGAATAGTCTCCCCTGCCATTCAATACATCAAACCTAACTCAGCCCATCGCATGCAAATGTAAGCAATAATTGCATTGTATTGGTGCAACTGATGCTTGAAAGCTGTGTCACTCTTTTCTCTTTGCTTTGCTCCTTTACTTTTCATTTTAAACTTGTTAAAACTGTTTCACCTAATCATCAGATGTAAGTATTGGAGAGGATTGTAGCAAAACTGATATACAGCTTATTTCTCTATCCTAAGAAATTAGCCTTGGTATCTTCCTGTTTAACCTGTAGCAAATAAATGCATATATCAGCAGTACATTTATAAGCACACGAAGTTCCACTAGTATTAGAATCCACAAATATCTATTTCAGGATAACAACTACCAAGCAAAGTGTTAGATATATTCTGGCAGTCTGTTATAGATACATAGATTTTTAATTTAGAAAGGATCGTCTGAACCTCATAGCTTTTAAAATAGGCTGTAGAATTAATGCTGCTATTCCCATTCTAAGCTCAAAAACTTATGTCTAACTTAATTATGAAATCTTTTAACATCCCAACTCTAACAAACTTGGAGTTATATTGTATTTGTATATTTCCACATTTCATTACTAATCATTTTAATTTATTAGGAATAGCTACTATCATTCATTGTAAGTGACAAAAAGTTGATTTTAATGACCAGACACTAATGTGTAACATTTTCTTCTGTTTCTGTGTATTTACATATAGGCAGACTTTTTGGGTTCCGGCTACCAGGATTGAGACTTCTGACCTACAGAAAGCAGTCCTTACCCCAGGAAGACCCCGATGCAGTCATAATCGATTCATCCAAGCACAGCGACGACTCAGTGGCAATGAAGCACTTTAAATCACCTACGAAAGAAAGCTGTAGTCCCTCAGAAGTGGATGATACAAAAGCACTCATTCAACACAGTAAATGTTCACCTTTGGTTAATATATCTGGACCTCTTGACCACTCATCACCTAAGCAGCAGTGGGACAGACTTTACCCTGACATGATACAGACAAGCAATCCACTAACCCATTCCAGATCAAAGGAAAGTATTTGTAGTATACGGAGAGCCTCTTCAGTACATGACATAGAAGGCTTTAATGTCCATCCCAAGAACATTTTTAGGGACCGTCACGCAAGTGAAGGTATGGTAGAAAGTCAATCACTATTCTCTGATGTACTAAAAAAGGATTATTTTCAATATTTCATAGTAATAATCATCACTTTGTAAACAAAGCTAAATATAATGACTCAATGGTGCATTGAAAATATTAAGGGCCCAAATATGCCAGGCTTATGTACACTAAAGATTGTTTTCCATTTTCAAGGAGACTAATGGTATCATGGTGTTGATCTTCTCTATAGGGATATAGCAAATATTGGGGCCAGCATTCCTAAAGCTAATATTGGAGTTTGGGGGGAAAAAAATCAGGTGATCAAATTATAATTGCATGTACTGTTCTCTCCTATACTTACAGATATTAGATTGTCTTTGATTGTATGAAATCCTACTTCAGAGACTGATAAGTTTATTTCTCTTAAATCTGTAATGTGCAGATTTTACATTCACTGATCCAACACTGAGACATGCTTTTTCTCTCATGCTGAAGAAATCATCTTCAGCAACTCCATGCTTTGTGTAATGAATAGTGAAATACTTAGTGAAATTGTGAAATGCTCAGTGTAAACTTCATTTAAGTGTGATTTTCTCCTTGTGCTATTATATTAATTTTTCATTGTAGTAGTTCCCAAATGGCCATTCTTCATCCAGTTATACATCTATGGAAATGTGTAAAAATCAGTTTGAATATTAAATATCTTTGATTACAGTGGTTGAAAGCTAATGCATAAATTACCACATAATTTTAATACTTGGAAAATGAAGGAGCAAAAATTTCTATCTCCATTTTATGGAAAAACTTTTTTCAAATGTTAAGTACTAATGAAAATGATTTCTACTATGAGGAGTCAATAATCCAATTGAACTAATAAGGCCTCTCCTGCAATGTGATCATTTAGAGTGTAAATCGACAAACACTCTCACTCTGTTTCCACTGTGCATAAACTACAAAATAGTAGAGAACCAGGCCCTAATTTATGTCATATATAGTCATTCTAGAAAAATTCAGCAGAAGAGAGGATGGCTCTCAGAAAGGCATTAGGATTAGTAATCATCCTTGATGCCATCTGCTTACAATCATGTTAGAATTGGACACCTTATGCTGAAAAGATGTTTAAATTTATCCAGCAAGTCCTAATTGCCTAACTCAATGGTGAGCCATAAAACCCTCTTATTGCTATAAAATTATTCATGCAAGTTAGGCAACCAAGATTCAGCTTAAATCATCTGCTCCAAGCTTGCAGTTTCTGAGCAGGGAGAATGCAAAACCCTAAATACAACAAGTAAAAGTAAACTACAGTCCCAAAGGGCTCAACTCTTACCAAAGGAAACATACGGTTAACATATTTTCCCATTCCATTTTTATTTTGAGTTTTCCTAAATCATTCAAAAACTACTACTCTATCTGAAAATGCAAGTCAGGATTCAAATTTTTCCTACCCTTTCCAGTTCAAAAAATATTAATTGAATCAGTAAAGCAGAATTCTGAAAGAAGAGAATAACATTACTTAGCTTAATACTAACTAGGGTAATTTACTTGCAGTCAAATTTTAAGATAATGCAATTGAGAATATAAATTATTTCATGTGTTAAATTAATTTATGCAGCATTGTTGTCTATCACTTTAAAATTATCTTCACTGTGCCCATTATATGCCAAAAGATATTACAGTAAAAATGACAGCTTAGCATTTTAAATTCATTTGAGTGTACTGGATCAAATTCCATTATCAATTTGCCTATATGACAGCAAAAGCAACAGGGCAGGAACTGTGTCCTACACTCACCATCCAAAATGCAGCCAAGCCAGCCTCATCTGAAACACCAGCAATCCAGATTCTGCAGTCAGGTACAAGTTCAGAAATGTTACTGTCTTCAGAAAGTGGACTCAGCAAGATCACTGCAGCCTTCTGAAACAGCAGCAGGCTTTAGAGCCCAGCTTAGCCTAATCTCCAGTACTGCTACAGATGCCTGGCCCAGGAAGGCACTGGGCTGGGAGGAACTAAACCCCCTTCCCCTGATGTGCCGTGCTCGGGAAGCTGAGGAGAAGCCAGTGAGGGCGCAGGTCCGGCAAGGCCTAGCGCCATGTCCGATGCCCCCATGCAGGCCACGGCCTCTGTCCAGAGCAAGGCTGACCACTCTCCACAGGCTGCTGTGGCACAGCCTCAGCCTCAGAGGTGGCCTGTCAGCCCAGGCAGAGGAGGTGAATGTCTGTGTGAGCCCAAAGCACATCTGAGAGCTGGTAACCTGGGCACAGCAGGTACCCGCACCGGGAGGAAGGCTCCACTCCCTGCCAGACCCGCCTCACACCCTCAGAGCCGCAGGGCACAGCACAAGGGGACGGTGCCTTGTGGATCACATTATTATCACATGAACCAGCGTGGCATCTACCTCTGCACCTGTGTGGCTTCTTTAAAATAGTGATAACAGCAGCAATAATAATGTTTTCCCTGAAAAGGTTTCATCTCATGAGAGGATTCAGGGCCAGGTGAGCCTGTCAGGACAGAAAGCTTAGCCTTGTGGAAAGGCACCTAAGAGCTGAAGAAAGGTTTAAGGTGTGTCTTTCTCCAGCACTTGCTCAGAAGGGCATGGCTTAGGCTGCTGCCATGGTAAAAGCATTTTCTCACATGAGTATAGGCAGGCATGGGGGGGGGCCTGGGGGTCTGTGCTGGGCCTCCTGTCCAGCCCCCCATGCCATGCAGCTACTTCTGCCTCAGCTTCTCTCAATTATGTGGGACTAATTATTTCTTCTTGGCACTTTTGCCAAGAAATAATTTTTTCCTGCAGCCCACTGCCAGACTTGTGGAGAAAGAATTTTATCATGTTTCTATTAAGGCAAGTTAGATAAAGCCAGTCCTACTGCCTGATGATCTACTCCAGACACTTTTACACATTATCTCAATCGTTGGAGTGATTTCACCTTCACTGAAAGGCTTCATAATACAGTCAAGGAGGTGCAACAATATTTCAATTCAAACCATGCACACATTGAAGCCGTATTTTCTGCTTTTTCTGATGTAGATTTTAGTTGTCTTTTTTTGTCTTTTTCTCCACTTTTATTATGCTGAAAACCAGACAATGGTCGCAGTGTCAAAGGTAAAGTATACATCTAGACTGTACCTTCCAGTGTTTCAATCAGCCACACTTTTTGGCATGTTACTTTGCCTGCTGTATGAAATGTTCAAATGCAACACTCTCATGTGACCTCTCTAGCGCTAGGTCTATTACATAAATTATATTTGTTAAACACATAGTTACTCATGTAACTCCTGTCTCAAAACACTAACTACAAATCACTGGAAAAAGTGAATGCATACTTAAACAGCCTTTCAATATCATTATCTGCTAATTTAAAAAAAGAAAGGGAGGGAGGTAGAACATATCTTAGTTACTTAACTCAGTGCTGTTGTCCTTAAGCAGTCAAAACTTCTGTTGAAGCTACCAGGAGCTTTACCTGTAAAAGGATGTGTGATTGTATGAGGACATTAGCAAATGATCCATAGTTACATGGTCCTTAGTTTTCGGTTAACTCTCTCAAAATTAAATAACTGATAATCAGGACCCTTGTGGAAGTATCTTCACTTATTCCTCTTTTGTCTCTTTAAAACTAGTTTCACGTTCCTGGATGGCAGGGGGTATGGTTTCAAGCTTCCTGTAGCATCAAAATGTGCATGCATGAACTTCATTGCCAATTTCATGTTTAAATAATATTTAGTGCAATTTAAAAACTGTTTCTTTTCACCAGCATTGAGCTATATGTTTTAGAAGCAATTTGAACATAATCTGTGAATTACTTCCTCAATTTCTGAAGATCACTTACTAAAGTGTTCAGTTTAATTGCTGTATTTGTATTTGTGGGAAAACTGGTTTGTGACTTCATGCATGATGCAAAAAGTGTGTGTACCTGGTAAAATCTCTCCAAACTGCATGCAGTGCATGACATAGGTTCTGTAAAATAATTTGTGGACTACAAAATCATTGCATTTGCTTCATGTGTATGTTGGCAAAATCTTAGGGGAAAAAAATGCAGTTTCTGTGCTGTGCAATAATTTTTATAAATGTATTTACTGCTGGTGAAAGATGATTAATTGGCAGCTCAGGAGAGTGAAATTATTTCTCAATGCATTGTGCAAGTCTGTTGGGATCCACATTGTGTAAGCAAGGACAGTGCAATCCTACCATCAAAATGGGGAGCTCAAACTTAAGCGGATTCTCCTTTTTAGGCTAGGCAGAAGCAACTCATTCTCCCTGCTTATTCAGTTCTCCACCTGTCTGTTGAAACTGTCAATCAGGGTGCCAATTAGTATCAATTGTGATTGTGATTTGTTATGGCCCCCTTTTCCTGTGCCCTGCTATGACAGTATAGCAATGGTCCACTGGCTGTCAAGTACCAGCTCAATTTCTGCCAGCCTGGGCTGTACTTAAGCTAATACCGTCTTTCAATCAATTACCATTGCCAATGAGGTGCATTATACCTTTCACCACTTTCTAAAGCAAAAGAAGGTGGGGGAAAAGAAACAAGGTTCTATTCTCTTGTGCAATGAGCTTAAGCCTAATATCATGCTCTAGGGCATGAGTATTAGGTAGCAAAAGAGAGAGTAATCCCCTTTGGAATGGAAGCAACAAAAGATGTAAATCCCAGAAACCAAAACTTCAATGCAATTTAAGTATCTACAAAGTTACTAATAAAACAAAATCTTACCTACTATCTAATCACAGATTTGCCTAAGCTATTTTAGTTTCCTCTTACCTTTGAATTCCTAAGGTATAAAGAATCTTCTTAATCTGACAAACTGATTCAAGGTTTTAACTTGAAATCCTGCTTACATCTAAACTGATTCAATACTCAGAAACTATTGCTCAAACTAACAGGGAAGCAAAACAGGGCTGGAAAACTGCAGTCTGACCACATGTCCATTAGCACACACCAGCCAGATTAGTCACTTCACTGATTAGTGAGGAGATTGTGTGCCCTGATATACTTTGAGCACTAATTTTTAGTAGACTCATATAGATGATGTGATAGATTCAGGTCCCACCTGGGCAAAAAGGCATTTAAATATAGTACCACAATCCCTTGGTGGTGCCCTCAGTAGCAGCTTTTTTACCATTCCTTGCAGGTGAAAGGTGATGCTTTCTTCCCTTTTCCTGTGAATCTGTTCCACAAAAATTATACTAGGAGAAAAAGAAGGACTGCTTTGCAGTTTATTGGTTAGAGAAGTCAGGCACAAACTCTTTTTTGTACCCAAAATTTTAGTCTAGAGCATCATATCCTCCCTTGTCATTCTAAATTCCTTTCTGCACAGTGGCAAAATTTGAAATGGATTAATAGAGATTTTCTATCTGTGTTCCAGATTAGCATGCAATTATTATGAGTTTAGGAGAAAGAAAACATGTATAGATCCTTATAAGCTTCAAAAGAAAATGAAATGTCTTCTTCTTCAACAAGCATTTGAAGCCAGGTGTGATGGAAAATCAGCCCTCACTTAAAGAATTTTGAAAAAAAAGAAAAATTCAACACAGCATAAAGCATTTCCCCACAGCCATCCCCAAGCAGCTGGTTGCTTTGAATTTCATTCATTCTCACATTGCGAATAAAATCAACTCTTCCACTGTTGACTTTGCAATTTACCCCATAGGCCTAATCCAATCTATTGACTGTCCCTGAATCAACATACACATTCTTGTTTTCCTCTCAGGAAGACAAAAGAAAACCTCAAAAAGAAGAAAAAGAGGCGTCACACTGTTGCCTTTAATAGAATTAAGGCAACCTTAAATAAGGTTCTCATGCAGATCTAATAAATACCCTTCAATCTCACACTTTATGTACATTACTACCAACTGCAAGACCTGGATTTTTTTTTCTTAAATACCTAAGAGGATTTACTTCTCACTGTCTAAACATCTTTTTAGTACTTTTTCCAATATTATTCATTGCAAGGAAAAGCAACTTTTCCTTGCAATGGATACTTTTGTCTTCCCAATGACCTTATGATGACAGAACAAAACAAGTATTCTGATCATTTATATTTCTTTCTTGTTCAAACAACTCTGTCTGTAATGAAAAGAATAATTATAAAGAATATGTACCTCATGAAGTATGTAATTTCTATATATATTTTAATGATACACTAAAATAGTATAAGAAGGTTATATATAATCTGTTGATATTCTACCTATAGTTATATAGGTTATCTAGGTATATACAGCATCCCTATAGTTTCCAATATTTTGTTAGTAATGACAATTGAAGAAACATATTTTGAGAGTCTACTCAATTTTCCAGTTTCTTTGAACTATCATGTGAGCATGAACAAGGTAGAGATGTGATAATAGAGCCTTTGCTAATTCCAGGCACTCTTACATAATCATGTGCCCTATTTCCGCTCTCATAAACAAATGAGCATATAGTCTTTATATTCAGCCAGAACTATAATAAGAGCTCACCAGAATTCCCAGTAAAATGAAAACAAGTAAGGATAGATGCATTATGCAATTTGGAATCCATCAACTTTCTAAAAAATATTGAGGGTTATATGTAAAGCAAATGTCATATTCATAGCCAATATTAGATTTCAATCTAATTAACAAAAGAGTTATTTTTAAAATGTAAATAATTTTTATTATTAACAACTAGTATACAGAAAAATAGTTTTTAATCACCCTTTTAACATATTCCACCTAAATATTAATGATAATTTATTTCCCTTAATTTCCCAGATACTAAATATGTGTTCTGATTTTTCAGGGCCTTTTAATCATATCAAGTCAAGTCTGTTGGGATCCACATCAGATTCGAATCTCAATAAATACAGTACAATCAACAAAATTCCTCAGCTCACACTGAACTTTTCAGATATCAAAAGTGAAAAAAAATCTTCATCTCCTCCTTCTTCAGAGAAAGCAATTATTGCACCTAAGGTGAAAGACCGAACGCACAATGTAACAGAGAAAGTTACACAGGTAAGGTAATACATGTTATTTTAGCTCATTTTCTTTTTTTTTTTTCCAGTGTATTCAATAGATTCTTACTCTTTTAATGAGTGGCTTGGCTATCTCCAGAATAATTTGAAGGCTTTAAAACATTATGTAATTTATCTTCCATTCAGTTTTTTATGAGGTAGTCTACAACATCAGATGATACTGCTAACAAACAAAACTCTTCTGCTCCCTATTTTTTAATGGAAAAGAAATCTAGTATGCACCACGTGTCCCAAATAAGACCATTTATTTCAGTGATTCCTGTCATTCATAAATGTTAGTTTCATTCTTCATAATTTTTTCTCAGAATTATGAATTGCTGATTAGTGTAGGGTACAACATGATAACAAATGGTAGATGATTGTGCCACTGTATCATAATTATATCTCATAATTTCTGTTCAAGTTCTTTGGCTTTTCATAATGCTCTTTCTTATGGGTATCTTTTTCCATATCTGTGCTTCCATAAGGCTGTCAAAATGAAAAGCACATACCTTTGGACTGGATGTACAATATATCTTGTGAACAAGGCATATAATTGAAACAAACCTTAAAATAATTTTAAATAGCTGTTTCTTCACTCTACGCAGATGCCCTCTGAAGTGGAAAGAACTTTTCAGCTAATTTCAATATTATTTCATTTGTGTTACAATCTTATATGGAGAGTGACTGGAACAGGCTAGGAATGTGGAACATACTGAAAAAAATACCAAGAGATGACAGTATCCCAAATAACATTTATAAGGTTAGTAAGCAGAGGGTTGGCCCTTAAAGGCCTAGACAGACTGAAAGAGGTAAAAAGCATTTTGCAGTAGAATGCAGCTAGATATTCCATAAGGAAGATCTTGCCAAGAGTATATTTGGGCTTAGAATCATAGAATAATAGAATTTTAGACCAGCATGTCCAACCATTAACCCAGCACGGACAAGTCCACGACTAAATCATGTCCCCAAGTGCTGACCAGACTGCAGCTTCTCTACATTGGTGCTTTGCCAGACAGGGTCCACATTCCTACTCCCTTTGACAGATATAAAAAGGGATGTATTGTACACCCTCCTAAAGAAATAGAGATAAAAGTTCTATCATTTCTATTTTGGGATCAGTTAGTGCCTAAAAAGTAATTGGATTTTTATCTTTCATATATTTTTTCTTTAATAGCTAGCTTGAATCTGCAACCATTGCCCTTTCTTCTGTGGTCAGTTTTGAAAGATATAATCTCTTCTGGATCCATTTTGATATGTTTTAAATTATTCATTAGTAGTTATATATAGAAATCTTTTCATAGATAATACAGGAAAAAGTCAAGTTACATAAAAAAGACTAATTTTTATAAGTTATATAAGCATGAAATAAGGTGGGGTTTTTTAGGGGTGTTTTTTCTTTGTTTTTTGGGTTTCGTGGTTTTTGGTTTTTGGTTTTTGAATTCTGACTGGCTAATTAGTGCCAGGGTGCTGAGCTTCTACATACTACTGATGCTGCTGAGGGCGGAAGGGAGGGCAGATTTTTTTTTTTAAATCTATGTTTATTCTCCAAATAATTTAGATTTTATTAAAAATCCAATGGAAATGGCATGGATCAGCTAATCTTTCAATGAAAATTGATACCTACCAAATTCAAAATTAAATTTGAAATGCTCTATAAAATCTTTACACTTCAAAAAAGCCTTCCAATTTAATTTGACATTGGTTTATGTCCTTTTCTAGCACAATCTCAACCACTGTGCAGAGCACAATTTGCATACCAAACTTTGATGCCATATCATTCATTATAATTGGAAATAGTTCCCTGCAGCTGCTGCTTTTTCTGTTATTACATTCACTTATCAATATTTTTAGTTGCTGCTGCATCCTAAATGCTAGAATTAGGTACAGGTAGAAGCTCTTAGGAGGTATAAATAAATGTAGGTCTATAGTATTACCGTGGTCAAGGATCTAGTTAACTAGAGATTCATTAATTAGATTAGAAATAGACATTTAGAAGATTTAAGTGGCTAGTTTTAGTCCTGTTTATGTTTCTATTCCCAGTGATTTTAATATATTTTGTTAGAGTCAGCTCTTTGAAGCTTCTGCTTCATGTCTGAATATAAATTTATTTGTAAATCTGTTCTTGGGCCATAGATCCATCAGGAATCTATCTGCAGAACAGTGCAAAAGTGGGCTTGGAAGATTTGAGCAGAGTGTTGAGAATATAATATGGTGGAAATGTTAAATGAGGTAGTAAAAATATGCTCATGCTGGCACAGTCTAAGGAAATCTGTCAAACAGCATCAAAATACACAGAGGGCAATATGACCTATTTAATCTATGGGGCAGTATCAGTAAAAGAGCAAATGAGTATAAAACAGCCATGGTAAGTTTAAAGGTCACCCTTAATCAGAGTTGTGACATTCTGAAACAGTCTTCTAATGAAAGTTAGGGCAGCAATTCTTAGTGTTGCTAGAAAGACCCTGAGGATGTAGTGAAGGGGTACAGAAGATGCTGTATTTTCTGGGATTGCAGGACTTGATGACATGAAAGGTCACATATTGTACCATTCAAATATACATCCATCCATCTCTCCCTTTGTAGTCCTTATTTTCTATCTTTCTCCCTTTCCTCAGTTTTGCTGAGAAATGCAATCCTGGTGTTAAAATCTGACAATTCTACTACTGTAGCTCCTCATGGTGCAACACAAAATATATCAGTGAGCTTTTGTGTTGGATCAGGCAGCCTGGATTCTCTCTCATTCTCTCTCAACAGTAATAAATCAAGTATCAGCATCACAGGATGCAACAAGTTCTTTCCAAAGACAACAGCTGTATAACTTCTTTAATATCCACAAGCTGGAGATGTAATTTGGGTCTTTAAGAGAGTGAAAAGGTAAGGATGGCACATAGTCACCTTCAGGGGGAAGAGGAAGAACAATGAATAAAGTAAATAAAAAAGTCGTTGGCCAATGTGTTTAGAAGAAGTGTTGCACTTTGAGAAAACATTTAAAGAGGAGTAAGATACTTTAGTAGAAAGATTTTAGTGGAATAAGTTAGAAATAGAAAGTAGAATAAAGTTTAGAAAATTATTTTAGAAGAAGGAGGAGATGCACTGGGACAGTAGTTTATACCTTGAGAGAAAAACCTAGGTTATGCATTCTATGGCAAGAAACCTTCCAATACTGTTTTTCTACTTAACAGGAGGGTTCAGGACATTATGTGGAGATGAAAATTGCCTTAAGATATAGCTTGCAGTGAAGTGCTGCACATGTGATGGTCCTGAATAAGTAGATTCCTGATTGCTTTGCCTGGATTTTCACCTGGGGCTTCACTGATCATAACTCCTTGTGTAATGCCGAGAAGCATAACATCCTCTGAACACTTTCTGCATAACTGACTTTTAGTCAGAGAATTAGTCCAGGTGTAGCTGCCAGATAACCCTGATTGATAAATTGACATTGTTATATCCTAGTGCAGATATTTGTGACTAAATTATATTTACATTTCCATTCCACTTAAGAAAAAAATGTTTTTTAAAATGCTTTTCCTTATAATTTCTGGAGGTGTTAATGTCACTCTCTTCTAGAAGAATCTCAACTTACTTTTTTCCATTATTTCTTTTTTACAGTCTGTTCAGGAAGACAGTGCAATTTCTGCACTCTTTTGTACTGACAGGTTCAGTTGGGGTCCTGACACTGATGGTTAGAAAGAGACAAGTCTTCCTAGAGGCACAAAAGTAGACTTTTATTAAAGAAAGCAGTAGGGCAAAAGTCTGACATCTGTCCCTTAACATTTTTTATGAATTCATAAAGGGGACTTCTGGCCTTAAAATTTCAAGGTACAAAGACACAACAGGAACTGATTTTATCTTTTGCTTAAATACTGATTTATTTTAAAGCTTTTTAGACATCCAGTTTCCACTGATGTACAGCTGCAAAGTTGTGAACTCCATTGTAAACAGACTCATGAAGACTAGAATAGTCAGTGTCTGTGCTTTATTTTTAAAGAAAAGAGAGAATTCCTGAATTCCCATATCTTAATACTGTCTACAAAATATTGTCCCAGTTAATAAACTGTAAATTACTGGTCTCTTTATTGTGTTGTTTAAGAAAAACTGTTTTGTTGCTTTTGTCACTAGTGTCCAGAGAACATTTATCTCCTTGCAATTAATCAGTCTGAAGGAATACAGAATGTGGTTGAAAGGCCCAATATATATCTGTTGTTCATTATTTATCTCAGTAAATGACTTACAGGAAAGTAAAACTCTGTAATATTTTAACTTCTTGTAATAATAGATTTCAGAACAGTTTCATTATCCACCCACCTCTAGAAAACATATATATATCCAAACTGGTCATATGGCTTATGAAATGATAAATATATACCTTGACAGGCTACACAGAATATTGTGATCTGATTTGCAGACATGCTGAACACCCACAAATCTTCTGAAAATAGAGCTGCTGGTGAGGGGGGTGGGGGGGAGGCTGGGGACCATGTATGAAGTGATAGACCTTGTAGTTTCACTGCATGTTTTTGTAATCTGGCCAGACTTTATTTCGTTCCCCAAAAGATTAAGAAATAAGTAACAATATCCTCCCAAGGCCAATAAAGCTGTTGATATAAAAAGAACTATTATATGATCATGACTTCAAACTGACCTTCAGGTTTTCAGGATAAAAGAAGACTACCAGCATCTAGGACAGAGGGGGGCAATATAAAACCTAAAAATAAACCAAATTATTGATCTATACATTTTCAGCAGTCTGATTCAGCTGACACACTGTGCTGTTTACATCCTGCAATAACTCACATACACACAACGTTTCAAGGCTGTTCATTTTGCATTCTGCATAAGGCAGAAAATTCTGAATAAAGGGGAAATAATTTTGATGCCTTCCAATTACACAGCAAGAGATACATATAATAATGAAATTAGGGGGTAGGCAGGGCCAACATTTCCTAATATATGGAAAGTTTAAATTTACTCTGAAATGAGATGCTTCTTTTTCCTGTT